CCCCCCCCCCTGTTGGTAATTTGCTGCGTATTGATTTTCAGTAACCTGAGCGGTCTATTCTGGTTTTGGGGTCATTTCTATCTGAAAACATCCCGGCCCGATCCAGCCCGCCCTTCCTTTGGTTCTGGGTGTGTATAAAGTCTGGGAAAGCCTTCTGTGTGGCATTTCCACTAATTAACATTTAATAGATAATGGACCAGCGGGAACTGTGTATTACTAGTGTTTTATCTCCGGCCAGGCAGAAAGCTTTCTTCTTGATTAATAGAGTTCAAAATCTTTAAGGTTTTATTAATTCTGAATGTTATTGATTCTCCTGCTCCTCCAAGCAGAGGGAGGTTCTCCTCGCTGTTTGTGAAGGTCTGGGACCGCTTGTTGGATTTCTGGGTTAAAGGTTGGAATGTTGAAGGAGGATCTGCCTTCAGTGAATGAAGAACCTCCATTTAAACAAAACCTCAGAACTCTACCTCCCAGATTTATTACTACCACACTTTGCTCTTTATTATATCTCTCCGTGGCGGACGATGAAGCAGAGAGCAGTATTAATGTTTAACCATCTTGAAAAAAATATGTTTTCAAGGTTGCGCTATCATCCATGTTTACTTGCGTAAACACAGAGGCGTGTGACGTCATTGCGTCCACACACGGGACACTTATGTTGTATCAATGCAGTTCACACAGGAGATCACATACAAGTCACATATATTTGGAAATGTGAACGGCGACGCAAAGAAGAAGATTTAAAGAAAAAATCGTAAGTGAGCAGTGTGATCGTAGCCTGAGGTGTTCGTCCTGCTGTAACCATCCCTGACGTCCAGTCGTTTTTCCTCCCGGTGATTTCTGTTTCCTCCAGATCTCCTCTGGGTTCAGAGACCCGAACTCTAAATGAATCCCAGCAGGTTTTACTTCCCTCAGGACAGGTGGGTCTCTGTCTGTTCCTGTCCTTCTAGCACTCCGTCTCATTTCACTCCAGCATCTGGTTCTGACTCTGATCTTCTAAAAGTCTGAAATGAACCCTCGCCAGACGCAGAATGCGAGTTAATTTCAGAGGCCTAGCTGCCACATGGCGAGTAAATGTTTGGACCATACGAGTTTTCTATGACGGAGTATTACGGCCAGGCTAGAGACTTTATAAAAAAAAATGTTATTTCGAGAAAAAAGTTGTAATATTACGAGAATAAAGTCTCCTTTCTAAACGACTTTATTCTCGTAATTTTACGACTTTTTTACGACTTTATTCTCGTAATATTACGACTTTTTTACGACTTTATTCTCCTAATTTTACGACTTTATTCTCGTAATTTTACGACTTTTTTACGACTTTATTCTCGTAACTTTACGACTTTATTCTCGTAATTTTACGACTTTATTCTCGTAATTTTATGACTGTTCTCTTTATTCTTGTCAATTTATGAATTTATTGTCATTATGTTACAACTTTATTCTTATAGTTTTATGGCTATTTTTGTTGAGACTTTATTCTCATAATTTTATTAGTCATCATTTTGGTGGATACTTCGTCATGTTCCTCTGCTGTCAGCTTGTATGACTCCAGAACGCAATTGTGTCATTTCCTTTTGCCAACAGAGCTCGCAGTTAGTTACGTAGCTGCATTATGTGGCGATATTTAGCAGGAGTCAGGTTTAGGAAAACATGGCGATCAGGAGGATAAACAATCCTGACCTACAACCCCAACCAGAAGATGCGGTTTGGAGATGGCGGCGTGGTCAGAAGGAGCGGAGGATAGAGTCTCACAGCAGAAAAATATTTTACAAAACATAAATAACAATTATCTCTCTGGCATCTATTTATTTTAAATCACAGTGCCACAGAAAACTATTCATGCCCTTCCAACTCTTTTTCCCATTTTTTCACCTCAAATCCAAAACTTTTATTCAAAATGTATTACTAGAACGAAAAAACAAAAAGGTTCATCGTTCTATTGTTCTAGAAAAAATAAAACTGGAATAAAATGCGTACATTTACATTCATCTCGTTCTTTCTTTACTTTAATATTTTGGCGGGTAAAACATATGCTTGGTTGATTTCTTTTTTTTTTACATCATGAATCAGAAAGTTAATTTCAAACACTGCTTGTGTTTCTTAATGCAG